CTGGTGGTGGCTGCTGTGCTGTGGCCAACAGTGAGCTACAGTCCAGAGTTACAGTAGCTTGGGGGGGAGCTTATTATCGGGGCGGGGGTGTGTGTGTCTTATTTTCGGAGGATGCCTTATATTCCAGTGAGAGGCAAGACTAAATAGGTCTTATTATCGGGGGATGTCTTACTTTCGGGGAAACATGGTAATTTTACCACAAAAACTGCATTTTAAATGTGCTGAAAAACTTGCCTTATACTTGAGTATATATGATAGTTAACATAGAAACAAGAGTCAGACCACTTGGGTTTGAAGCCAGCGCTACCTTCAATGTAGGAGCAATGGGACTCAGTCTTTGTGCTTACTTCCTAATCTGTAAAATGGAGTTAGTCATAGCATCCATCCCATCAGATTATGAGCATTGACTGCTCAAATACAGTCAATGCTCTTAAAGCAAAATTTCTGAGCCCTTAAAACAAAATTTACTACATAGTATGCCCTGGGTATGTATTTGTTTTTGCTACAATGAATAGGTCTCAATTTACATTGAAATTTCATCATATTAATTATAAAACAATTTTATCTTCATGACTTCCCGGCAAAGCAAAAATATAACTCATGTTATAAAACCCAAAGATAAGCAAGCTATAAACCCTTCCATAAACTGAGGGGCTGGCAGGAAGGAAAACACAGTAAAAATTGTGCCCCCTGCTGTATACGAGGTGCTTGATATATACATATTGGTTAATTTAAGATGTGCTTGATATTGAGCTTCTATGGTCTCTTCCCACATTGCTATTCCATCAATTCCTGGAGCCTTGGTTTTTGCTAATATTTTAAATGCATCTTGGATTTAGTCCTTTAGTACCGTTGGTTCTTGCTCATATGCTACCTCTTGACTTGGTTGAATATTAAGTTCTTTTTAATACATTCGTTCTGTGTATTCTTTCCATCTTCTTTGGTGTTCCTTCACCTTCAATATTTTGTCTATATAATGTTTCAATATTAAAACTCGTGGCTTGAATTTTTTTCTTCAATTCTTTAAGTTAAAAAAAACTGAGTATGTCCAGCCTGTATGATCACAAGGTGTTGATGGGATCAGGTATCAGGCATCAAAGAACAAAAAATCAAATTATTTTGAATGAGGGGGAGTGCGGAGTAAAGACCCAGACCCAGAGCCCAGGCAACTGGACATCCCCTTACAGAAGGGTCGCGGGGAGGAGATGAGCCAGTCAGGGTGCAGTATAGCAACGATGAAACACAACTTTCCTTTAGTTCTTTAATGCTTCCTCCCCCCACTATCATGATCCCAATCCTACCTTACAAATCCGGCTAGACCAAAGGATGTACACTGGTACAGATAAGAACTGGAAACACAGGGAATCCAGGACAGATAAACCCCTCAGGACCAACAATGGGAGTAGTGATATAAGGAAGGTAAGGGGAAGGTGGGGGGAAAGGGGAAAACTGATCACAAGGATCTACATATAACCCCCTCCTTGGGGGACGGGCAGCAGAAAAGTGGGTGAAGGGAGACATCAGACAGTGTAAGACATGACAAAATTATAATTTATAAATTATCAGGGGTTTGTAAGGGAGGGGGCTGGGAAGGGAGGGGAAAAAATGAGCTGATACCAAGGGTTCAAGTAGAAAAAAATGTTTTGAGGATGATGATGGCAACAAATGTACAAATGTGCTTGACACGATGGACGTATGTGTGGATTGTGATAAGTTTTGTACGAGCCCCCAATAAAATGATTTTTAAAAAGAAAATTTTAAAAAGAAGGGCTTAGCTTAAAAACTGTAACTTCTTTGGGGTTTTCTAACTATAGGTCTTTATATATTTCATTATAATGTCTGACTTTGTCTTCTCAAGGTCCCCTTTGAAATTTTCTTTCGTCTTTTAAATAGCCTTTTGTGTTCTTCATGTATGATATTGATGTCTTCCCACAGCTCAACAGGTGCTCTGTCGTTAGTGTTCAATGCATCAATCTGTTCTTGCAGTATTCTCAAATCTTGTGTGGGTTAGACTCAAGGCTGTATTCTGGCTCCCATGCATGCACTTTCATTTTCTTCAGCTTCAGCTTACATATGAGCAATTGCTGGTCTCTTTCACAGTCTGCCCCTGACCTGATTTTAGCTGCTGATATTGAGCTTCTCTGTGGTCTCTGCCCACAGATGTCCTCAACTTCATTTCTGTGTATTCCGTCTGGAGAACTCCATGCATGTAGTCACCTTTTGTGCTGTTGAAAAAAGTTACTTGCAATGAGTCAGTCATTGGTGTTGCAAAGTTTTTTTTGTTTTTTTTAACTATAGAACTTATTTATTTATTTA